TCACGATACCTATTTTCGCGACATTATTGCGTAAATTTAGTTACATTTTGAACATTGATATTTCATATTTTATAATTGTCCATGAAAAGATAAACATTTTTTATTCTCAGAGATTAACAAGTTCTAATTTCCCATTTTTGTGCATGAAACTTTTTCATTTATAACTGTCATAACATAAAAAAAACATGATACAATTGCAAAATTTAAACGATACATAAACATATTTAAACCGATACTTTAAAAACTAAATATCGATACAGTTTTGAATGCATCGATAACTGTATCGTTTTAGAAAAAAGTATCGATGTATCGTGGCATCCCCAGTTTTCAACTGCATAGATCGACGCCTACAATATCAGTCACTGATTGGTGAGGTCCAGGCTCGGATGCTACCGCTTCGGTAGTGAATACACCTTCATATACCCAGAATAAAAGCTATATGATACTAAATATATAGTATAAATACTCAAATATATTCACGTATAACTGCAACGTCGTCGGAAAATCCGTGCACTTTAAGCAGCAACAGGATACCATGTTATCAATGTCTTACATAAAGTGCCATGCTGATGACATGTGACATTTTAAAACAACTGCGTAGAGTATCAACTGATTCCTCCTTAAACCCCAGAAAATGTAACAACGAGAGATGTGGAGTGGGCGACTGATCACTGCAGTCGAGTTATTGTTTTCATCTTTGCCATAAATGGAGATGATTGAACTTTCCGACTGCATTGATATTAGATAATGGTATTAAATAGTGAGTGTTGGGGAATCAGCTCGCTTGGCAAGAGGTCTGACTATACCAACCCACAACACAACACAACACAACACCTGAGGAAATAAACGAGGAGTTTATTACACACAGTCACAGGATGATTTGGTACACAATCAGTCAATAATGGCATGGTTTAAAATTAATTATTAGAACATGTTAACAATGCAATCAGCTATCAAAGTACATAAACATGACATGTAGATTCGTTACACGACACATACTACATTAATCACGATACATATTCTCAATGTACACAACAATAGTTCCGTACTCTACACATCAACCCAGTGGACGTTCATACAATCTACATTCTGTAACAGTCACAAAACAGCATAGTATTCACAACGTAATACAATAGTTAAAATACCCGACACACTCTATACATTCTATAATAGTCACATAACAGTGTAGTTTCATCAGTATTAAATAAACAATCCTAAACAGTAATACAGAATATATGAGACACAATAAAGGATGCGTCGTTCCACATAGACCTGAAGGTAGTGCTAAGGGTAACAAATAGTAAAGAGATGTCCAATAAGATTACAGTTAACACAGAATAACAATGGTAAGATCTATCAGGGCCCTGTTCCTCAAAGCGATCAGACATAGACGACTGTCGTAAGTCTATGTTAAAATATGGGAGTTACGATCATCTTAGCGCTACGATCGCTTTCAGGAACGGGGCCCAGGAAGAAAGTAAAGTTACATACCTGAGTGAATTTACTAGACAGCCACCCAATGCTTTGTGACTGTCATCCGTATTATATACGGTATCTATTCTAGCTATCGCAGACAATCGCGTTTACAGATAAAACTTACGATAACGTTGTTATTGTGAACATGAGATTATGTCATTTAGTTGGACCGAAGCATCGATGGCCAGTCGCGAGTATGCCACGAACGGTATACCGGTATGTGGTGCGGGATTTGACCATAGGATATAAATATACAGTACAGATAAAGGTACTGCATCTGGGTTGTATTAGCTTCACAGACACTGGTCCCGGAGTATGTCCGATGTGACTCTTGGGAGTTTTAAGATAGTTGAACGTGGTCAGTTTTTTGGTAGTCTGTAATATTTCCAATTTTCGATAACATATCATGTCATAAAATATTGGTAATTCTTTGTCCGGTTTTTCCGTGTTAATAATGGTAAAGAAATCATAAAAGTACAGTTTGAAACAGTAGTGTGTGATGTTGATATTACTGTCATTCTATCAATTGCTAATCACGTATGAAATAACCATACTCACAATCTCTCGCCATAGCGTGAACTGTAGTCTAAGGGAGGTAACGCGATATAAGACGTCACAGTTATTATTATTTGTGCCGGTCTAAAAAATACGAAGTTCTACGTAGATGATACATACTTCTACGTTGATGGTACATACTTCTACGTTGATGGTACATACTTCTACGTTGATGATACATACTTCTACGTTGATGGTACATACTTCTACGTTGATGGTACATACTTCTACGTTGATGATACATACTTCTACGTTGATGGTACATACTTCTACGTTGATGGTACATACTTCTACGTTGATGGTACATACTTCTACGTTGATGGTACACTTCTACGTTGATTCTACGTAGATGATACATACTTCTACGTTGATGGTACATACTTCTACGTTGATGGTACATACTTCTACGTTGATGGTACATACTTCTACGTTGATGATACATACTTCTACGTTGATGGTACATACTTCTACGTTGATGGTACATACTTCTACGTTGATGGTACATACTTCTACGTTGATGGTACATACTTCTACGTTGATGGTACATACTTCTACGTTGATGGTACATACCTACTGCGTTGATGGTACATACTTCTACGTTGATGGTACATACTTCTACGTTGATGGTACTCACATTGAAATGGCTATGGTTATTTCATACGTGATTAGCAATTGATAGAATGAAAGTAATATCAACATCAAGACGGGTCATGGTAAAGAGAGCATCTGGGCCCGTTCCTCAAAGCGATCGTAGCGCTACGACTGTCCTAAGTCTATGTTAAAGCATGGGAGTTACGATCATCTTAGAGCTACGGTCGCTTTGAGGAGCGGGACCCTGGTATCATTACAGAATAGTTGATTGCTCGAGTCCATGAGTGATCGTCGAGTGTTTGCACGTCAATAAATGACCATGGAATCTCTAAACTTCAGTACGAATGAATCTGAAACAGAAGTGTGTTCCTAGGTATGAATAACCATTCCTTTTTGTTGTTCTTGTCTGTTTATTACTTCGTTCAAAACGATGAATTAATGCGTTAGACTATCACCTAAAATGGCTTGGAGAACGTGAACGTTCAGATGGGTGAGCTTAAAATGAACGGGTTGTCTTTTTTGATAACTGACTAGAGCTTTGTACAACAACATTTTACTTTCTTGTATCAATTATATGTTGGTTGATAATAGCACATTAGGCCACACATATATTATCGACTATCTACTATAGGTGTTTCTGAAGAAATATTTTCTTCCTGAAAATATCAACTTTGTCCGAGCCCTCTATGAGATAAACGTGGGTTGTTTTGCAAGGAAGGATATATATCCTCTGTTCAGTTGTTATAAATAAAAACAAAGTTAAAGGTCACATGCAACGTAAAACACAACTTTGCAGATTCTGATACCTTTCGGTATGGACTTACCGAAACAAATCGTTAAAAATGCAAATTCAACTTATAAAGATGAAAAATAACGCGATGAAAAAAAACGCGCGAAATCGGAGTTCAAACGTTTCACTAATTTTCCCCACTTTTCTGGGGAATACGAGTTTCAACAGCTGGGCTGCGCTCATAGCACGTGCGCAGTGAAATAGGTTCGCGCAACTTGGAAGCGGGCTGTCTTGTGAATACTCGGTGAAGGCTTTGGTGTGAGCTATTTTTCTAATGTTTTGTTGATATCTCACAGGCGCGAGCTTTTTATATGTTATGACAGTAAATAAACTGTTTATATAATTTCATTTGTCTATTTCACCACACGTTCTTCTTACCGAGTCACTTTCTCAGTTCGATACTTAAAAGCAATGTCATTATTTAGAGTTGACACAATTTCTAAATGTGACATAGATATGTCGCTGTCACAGACAAAACTCAATGTCTTGTTTTATTGACACCTGTGTGTCTGCCTGCCTGTCCGCTAATGACAATATTCAATACACAACTTCGATCACTGACCACATGCAATTTGAACACCAATCAGGCTATACACCATAAACAAAACGCATTGATTTATGGCCCGAGTTCGGTCTCAGTCACATTATGTAATTACACAGACAGGCAAGTGTGATACTTGAACACATGACATGTTATGATGTCTGTTGATTGCAAAATGTTATACATAAAAAATGAGCATGTATTTACAAAAACCAACATCTCAGTATATACACACACAATGACCCGTGAAGACGGCATCTGCTAATGAACCAGCCGTTACACTTGAGTGCACACCCACCCGCTCTGACTGGGTTCGGTATCCCGGCTGCTTCGTTTCGAGGGAGGTAAACCCAAGTACAAAATATTGCACTTTTGAGTTGCGATTATGCGCTTATAATTTTGTTTATTTGTTTTTTCATAATCAGCAATGCATATTATATGTCATGAAGAAGTGATAATTGTGTTTTAATTATGTTTGATTTTTGGGTTGCATGTGACCTTTAACAATTGAAATTTGACCGGATGGGTGATCCGCAACCAATTTACAGGTCTGAGGTCACTGTTGGGGATGTTTTCGTTTATAAAGAAGTGATTCACGATACACGACATATATCATATCTTCACTCAGAAAAACATATATATAAACCACACTTAATGATAGTATGTCAAGTATCTCAGTAGAATTTTTTATCATGGTCGGTTAAAAAAAACAAGAGAAATCAAACAAATATTGAACGTGTTCTCCCTGTTAGCATAGGTGCGATAATTTGTTCATAGCGAAAACGACAGGACGAAATAATCGTCTCTCTTTGCTTCGATTCGTATTTATTCACCGCTGTAAATATTACAATTCTATCAACTGTCCAGCGTAATAAACTAAAACAATATCTACAGATAGTGGTTTGGGGAGTCTAGATATTTTTCGTACCTGTCTGAACGTAAACATATTCTCTGGGCACTCTTTAAATCTTGAAACTTGATTTTTAGGATACCAGAATCAGTTAAAGTTTACGACATTTACCGCTTATAAATATTGCGACATTACCACTTCCGGAAATGCGACTGCTTGGCAATAAAATGCTCTAAGCATTTTGTTTTGTGAATGTTTGTGTGTTTGATTCATTCTAACATTAGGAAGAAACATCTGGATTTTAAAATACGTTATAACACACGCGTATGTTACGATCCAGTGTCGTTTTTTGAAAGTAGTTGTATCCCATACTTATCGCACACTTTCAGCCCTGAGTTTCACCACGGGATTACAAGCGAGTCCGGTAAACATCGTCTGCTACAACATTTACGCTTGAAATCAGGACATTTCTACAAGGGACTGGCTTTTAATCACTAAAGGTAAGTAAATAAGTATGACATGTTATTTAATATGTTAAAAAGTAATTACAATGCCGTCCGGTAATTCTGCGCACCCCCAAGCACATCGATCGCAAGACGGCAACTAACGTCTCTTATTTTTTTGGTTTACGTGACTAAGCATGCTGGTATGCATCATATTTACCTAGAAATATAAGTTTTATAACTATAAGATTCTAACGTTGCATTATGCCATATGGTTGACCTTACGTTAAGTTACCGGCGTTCTGACGACATCCCTTGCTGTCCGGTAATTCTGCGCAGCAACTGATGCCGCATAACATCCAGCTGGAGATCCGAAGTATGGAAGCGTATTAGGGCCAGATTATTTTCAAAAATCACTTCATCAATGTAGGGAAGAGTTTCATAATAAATCCAATTATGAATAATGAAGAAAAGGGTTTAAAAGTATGAAGAAAACGAATTTTCATAAAACTGTCAATTTATCTGTCAATTACTGTTATTTACATACCTTAAGTGATTAAAAGCCAGTCCCTTGTAGAAATGTCCAGATTTCAAGCATAAATGTGGTAGCAGACGATGGTTACCTTCGATTCGGAAGAACGCTATTCTAGCTGTGCAGAATTACTGGACGCGTGGAATTACCAGACTCGCTTGTATAAACGAGACTGAATTACGAAAAACATCAATGTAAATACCTGCCACAGCCACCCACATGTCGCTGACAAGTTCATGGTGACCTGAGGCGTGTTCAGAACCGCAAGCGCCGCGCTATTGCCTCCCGTGAGCGCTCGCATCATCCCTGAATGGACGCGAGCGTTTGGTTACATTAAACCATTCGTGACCAACTCGTGTCATTCCGGGACAAGCCGAATAGCGTCTTGTCTTCTCGTTGGAGGTTACGGAAAGGGGCGAGTGGTGACAAATGACATTAAACATAGTCGTCATCTTGGTTTGCTTGGCAAGGCAGCTGTGAGGATGAGTCGTTGCGTGCGCGCGGTGCTCGAACGGGCACAGGCGCTCAGGATCGAACGCTCACTAGCGTTCGCGGACACTAGCGGTTCTGAAAATATATGTTTTACTGAAAAAGTAAGTATAAGAATGATATTTGAATATTTATCAAGGTGTTCCTCCCCTTCAAAGAATCACTGAAGAATAGATGAAATATTAATCTTGTAGATAACATTGTTTTATCTATTTTGTTTCTTTTTGTTAGATTAAACATGGATGAAAGAAAGAGTAAAAATGAAAGGCTAAGAGAAGCTTTCCAAGATGTCCTAGACAAGGGCATTGCTGTCAGGAAAGCAGCTAGAGTGCATGGCATCCCTGAATCTACACTGAGAGGAAGACTCAACAATCCCAAAGGCTTGGATGTCAAGGTTGGTGCACCACCTATATTCTCACCTACACAAGAGGGGGAACTTGCATCATACTGCATAAAGATGGCCAATATTGGTTATGGATTTTCCAGATGGCAAGTGATTGACTTAGCAGTAAATATGAACAAGATTTTGCAGAGAGACTTCAACCCAACCAAGCACTGGTTTTATGGATTTTTATCCAGGTATCCAGAAATTACCGTTGTTAATGCAAAGAAGAGGGATGATGCTGTGACGGAGGAGACTTTAAGGTTGTATTTTTCTGAATTGACCAAGCTTCTGGCCAAGTATGACCTTGTTGATAAGCCAGCACATATATGGCATGTGGATGAATCAGGAATATCCCTTGATCACAACCCTCCAGAAGTTGTGGCACGGAAAGGAACTATGCCTCACATGGTGACAGCTGGACATTCTCCAACCACCACAGTCATTGCTGCAGTAAGTGCTGTTGGTGACACCATTCCGCCATATATGATATACAAGGGAAAGCGTTTGTCCAAGCAACTGACAACAGGTGGACTTAAAGGAACAGAGTACAGAACATCTCCAAGTGGCTGGTCTAATTCCATTTTGTTTCTGGACTTTTTTAAGAATCATTTCCTCCATCATGCGACAAGACCATGCATTCTGCTGTACGATGGCCATTCTACTCATGTGACTGCTGATATCATCCAGACTGCTAAGGAAGAAAATGTCCATTTGTTTGTTTTACCCCCACATACAAGCCATTGTCTTGATGTGTCAGTGTTTGGTCCATTTAAGAAAAGTTTGTCCACAGAGTTTCATAAATTCTATCATGAACATCCCAACTCTACCATCACAAGAGAGCAGCTTCCACAACTTGTTGGTCAGGCCTATGTCAGTGCTTTAACTGTTCAAAATGTGATCTGGATTTCGGAAGACTGGTATATTTCCCCTGGATGCCTCAGCTGTGGATACTAATGCACCAGCCATCACTCCTCAACCAACATGTATGTTATTAATATTCTGGTCATGTACGAACTAACTAGCAGGCTTAGATGTACTTAACAATACTAGATCAATTATGCTAGGATAAGGTAAAACTATATATGAGGTAAAACTATATATAAAGATGTACATAAACTTCCAGTTTCTTTCAATCAAATTCAACTGAACCTTTTTTTTTCATCTGTGAAGATACTCAGGATATGCCCTTCTAGGATCGTTTCAGTTGGCACAGTAGAGGTCACGAACTACTCAAGAATTCTTGGATATCTTTGAAATTTAAAAAAACACACCAAGCAAGCCCTTCGAATTCCTCTAGATCAGTATCCCTTTAAACTCAGTTCCTGGTTACGAGCTTCGATAGTGACCAGTTCATGGAATGTTGAAAAAGCCGATGGATGAAAAATAGTTTCTTTTTGTGGTCAGTGACCATATATCCAAATAGAAAGGGTCAGGCAGGTAGTTCAGGTAATATTCACTCATGTGGCATTATCTTTCATGCTTGAATTGCCAGCTATTAAGTCAGAAATGACCACTGACCATTCTTGAAAACAAACAGTTGGATTTGACCCAAAATGAGTTAGAAATTTATTTATTGTCTTGTTAATGCTGTAAGGGACATCTGTGTTTTGAAATGCATTAAAAAATTAACATGACCAGACAGACCCTTAACAAATATCATGTCTCATAGACTGACTGGAGAATCTTTCCTTGGGCAAATTCCAGTGATATTTGTTACCATGATCAAAGTGTATAAAAGGGGTGTAGCAGAGACCTGTCACAAATGTAGGCAACTTTACAGATATCGGTTGTGTAGAAATCAAAGACTTTTAGAATATAAGTTCCAATTCTGGTGCTTGTAGACCTCTGCTGCATGCTTAAGACAAAGTTTATTGTATAATACATGACATTTACCTTTCCCCAAACCCTCTGGTGATAACCCTGATGTAAGCTAGAAGCCCCATCCTGCTCATGTCATGAGTATCTGATGTTTGACTTCAGGCCAAAAGAAGCTGGGAAAGGTGATAACTCCTGATCCCTGGAAGTCTGGGGCAGAAACACAACCAAAGGAGGCGGCCGCAAAGTTGGAGAGAATAAAGCTTTGACAGCAAAGAAAAACAGGTATATTACTATGGCAGCTGTGGACATCATTAATGCAAAATTCACCTTGTACACAATTTTCATATCGATAATCATAAATAATTTTTCCTATTTCTGATTATCAATCATTTTATGATAATAATGAGGGTACTTATACCACGCAATACTCCTGGAAAGTCCAAGGAACTCTCAGGAGTCAAGCTGCCAAACATTGTCACACATCCAAGAACTCTCCATGCTCAACAATGCTTAACTTTATCTGATTTGTGACCTGAGCTCTATGCACTGGACCACACAAATTTTAGCCAGTCCTTATCATGTAGTGTGTTATAGTCCCCCAGATAAATGGGACGTTTTGTGTTTCAGGTTCAACCCCTATTCTACAGGATTTGACAAGTGCCGGATCTGCAAATCCATCGTCCACCAGCCTGGCTCTCACTACTGTCAAGGTGGGTAATACTTTACACAGCAATGTGGAAGCATAAATGCCAGAATCACATGGGTAAGGACAAACTTTATGGATGAACAACTTCTTTATTCCGGTGATGCAAAGATGTGCATCATGTTTACTGGCATCTGTGAAGACAGTAGACTGGTGCCATTAAGTCCTCCTACACATCCTATACATATGCTGTGTTCTGACAAACTGACCTATGGTTACTGTTTTCAGTATTTAGAAAATAGCCTATGAGCTATGAAGAATTTCAGATGATCTGCCATAATTCGGTTACTTTTGTCCTAAGCATTTGGGATGATCACCAATATTCTTAGCCATGTGGATAATATTGAGATATCAAATACACATGAATAAATGTTTTGGTATTATTTTCCTCTCTTATATTCCACTACATGTTTTGGGTGAAGGTGGCTTAGATACATGTTGTAAACATAGTGAACATGGTGAATATCGTATTAGAATTTACCGACTCCCTCAGGACATTTGTCATCATGTTACCAGTCCAATGTACACTGACCTATACAACTCATGTTTAAGAGATTATTGATACTGTAACCAGCAGTGAAATCACTAGAGTTACCTTCTCTTTTGCAGACTGTGCCAATGAGAAGGGAATCTGTGCCATGTGTGGCAAGTAGATCATAGACACAACCAACTACCGACAGACTTCAGTTTGAAGAAGAGTATGAATTCAGGACAAGTTTGACTTATGAAAAACTGAAAATAGAGTCTTATTTGTTTTCTTCATCAGTGGCTTAGGCATACTTGATCATCAAGTGGATTTTATGAGGCTCCTACTGGAAGCCAGAATGAGGATGTGGATCGTCCCAAATGGATCCAAGAGCTCTAACACTGATGTTTGTTTGAGACATCTCATCACTTGTCAGCCATATCAATCTTGCTGGAGTATGTGTATAGCCCTGTAGATGTTTGATATTCATAGTCATCTGTTTGCCTACTTGGTGAAGTGATGGTTGGTCACACCAAGTCTCAGAGTTCATCCCTACATGGATCATTCCTCTGGAGATACATATGCCTGAAATAAGAGCTGCACACTCACTTACTCACCCACATTTACTTCTTTGTCACAGATGTTTGTATACATCAGGTTTAAGACATACAACTTTTCAAGGTATAAAATGCTCAGTCAGCATAAAAAACACTATTGCCAAGGGCATTAAGGCAGCTAGGTTTATTTTCTGCTGAGATTCTTTTCATTTTACACTTATTATGCAACAACCTATCCTAATTAGTGGAAGAATTCCTGCAGCTTCAACTGGGAATGTGGGTTTGAACAAGGGGCTCAAGATGATCCTTCTGTAATTCCTGAGACGTTCAGTATTCTGTCTACCCATGGATGTAATTGTTTGAATCGGAAATCATTACATCTGTTCCCTGTTGGGAACATTTTCTAGCTGCAACAGAAATCTGTGTAACTTAATCCACCTGACCACATTAGCTAGAAAGTAACATTGAAATATGTTTTGTTTTATTCAAGCAAATGAATAATTGACTAGTTGTATTTATTTTATTTTTTTCATCAGGAATACTTGTACAAGTACCTTTGTGATGAATTTGGATGTCAGTAATCTCACATTAAGCCTCTTTTGTTGACATATAATTATTATATTTCAGTAAAATCATGTGTCTCTCCGATACTTGCATGTTTTGTCTATCCTGTTCTAAAGGGTCTCTTTAACACATAGGGTGACAGCACCAACTCAAACTATGATCATATTACTGCTATTTAAAGCCATGAAATAACCTTTGATAGAGAATGGATCTTATAACTGCCATACTTTGCCCATACAAAGGTAATGTTTGTGGATGTTAATAAGTCATGAGGACGACTGCTTTGGAAATGATATGGATGATGTTGTTCCAGTTCATTTATATGTCCAGTTTGAAAGACATGATAGTAGTTCTATTCAAAGTTCAAATTTTCCCTGTTCTTTCTTGACTCAAACAGGTGGAAACATCACCAGGACTCCACATGCAGACTGTCTCCCAATAAATCTTAGAAATCTCATGGGTAAACAACCTCCTTTCACCAATCTGAAAATCATTTACACAGCAATACTGTACTATTTATGACTCTCCTGATTTCAACAACATGCATAATGGGCATGCAAGTATTCACTTTTGAAATTGCATCTTTGAATTTTAGCAAGAATCATTTTAGAGTTCAGTTGTGATTAGAGAGGAGAGATGGTGAGCTTGCTTCCCAAACTTCAGTGGTGAATAGGTCCAGGTTACTCAGTATATGTCACAGTAGAACGGAGATATCATATACATGGGGAAAATACGTGACTGTTCACAATGACATCTGTAAGTAATTATCAGTGTGTGATCAACAGCAGCATTACAATTTATGTCCTACCTGTAAAAATAAATTATTTTGGGATCTTTTGAAAAATTACAAGCATGGGGAACGTTCATTATTTGTCTACAGGCAGCTGATAAAGCAATCAGTCAACTCACTTTGTTACCATTCCATTTTGGTTCCACAGTTCCATGATGTAAGAGGTGAAACAGTATACATGTGGCAGCCTAGGATTCTTATCACAAAATATATTGCATTCATTATTTCAGAAACATTTCGTTGTTACCATGTCATCATATATTTGGACTGTAAGTGCGAGTCTTCAATAAATCACATGCATGTAGCATGTTATAAAGCCAGTCCTATTTACATGCTGACACTTAATAATTCACATTAAAACATCACAAATGCAACTTTTACCCTATACGTCAGCTGAAATAAAGATTACCAGAATACTCAAACAGTCTTATCATTCACATGGGACAAGATGACACATGAACTGCCTGTGAGTACCAGGGATATATAATTTTAATGTGTGAAATATTTCAGAAAATAATTATCAATCATGGAACTTACACTACTCATTTAAGTTGGACAGGGAATGTTTGAAAAACAAGAAAGAAATGCCAAAATTGACAATTATATACTGAAAGGCAAAACGTCGTATTTTTAGATTATGGATTTGGTATCAATGATGTATTTTGATTAACTAGTTGTCAATTGATGACTGAAAACAACATTTAAAAAACATGATTCGAAGACTAAATGATAAGTTTGTACAACACACCAACGTTTCGGAATGTTTAAAAACGTTTCACTATTTTTGGACAAGGAACAGCTCAACCAAACGCAACATTGAAAGCACACTGCACGTGCATCACGTGCGCATACAGGGTATAAATACCCAGCTTGACTACCGATCCTTCAGTGGTTTCCTGACTACAGCAGCTATGCCGAGGTTAACAAGGGATCAACGTCCTCAGGACGTCTCCACGCAAGTCGACGTGCTACTGTCATCGCCAATGACTTCATTGTTCTGTAACAGTTCTGTTCTGTAAGAACAACTGAACGTCTCCGACAGCGGTTCAACACCACCAACAGCACAGATGACCGTCAACGTAGTGGTCGTCCCCGGTAACCACCCGTCGCCAGGACCGTCAGATCGTCCGTCACCACTTGCAAGACCGGTTCAACAGGGAAACAGAGACAGCTCGAAACGCCATTGGCACCCACCAAAGAACAATCAGTGACCGCACCGTTCGGCGATGCCTCCAAGCCAGCAACCTGTGCTGTAGGCGAATAGGGAATAGAAAATGCACCCCTATATTGAGAAAATGGACTTGACTTAGTGGAATTAAGGAAGGTCAGTTTCACAATGTATGAGTAAAAAGATGAGTATATCATTGTCTTTAAATGGAGTCAACTTATAATCTCTGTTTATATAAGCAATCGATTTAAGAATTACGGCTATGAAGATCAAAAGTAGCAGTGACATACAACAGTTTGTGATTATAAACAAATATTAATCATTTTGTTGCTACACACTGGAAGTGTGTGATCCAGGGATGTAAAGGAAGATACAGCACCATAATGCTCTGAAAAAACTTGTGGGAAAGCACCATCCAAACTTTTATGAATTCGTAACAGCTATCAAGAACATTGAATCCACCAACAAGATCACTCGCCTTCAGATTGACCATGGTGCAACAACTCTGCTACGCTCACGAGCTTACAGAGATCTTGACCAGTGTCTCAACGGACTGAGACAACAACTTGAAAGTGGAAGATCACCTATTCAGCTCCTGGACGCAGCAGGTCACTTATTGAAGATTCAATAAACTCAGACATCCATGAACTCAAGTATAGTGTACTAGTTAACAGCCAGTGTTATTTTGATTATTGTATTATATAATATACTACTCAAAGTTTGATAAGGATCATATAGTTCTTACATTATAAAATCAATATATGAATTGATATGACACGCAAATTTCATCACAATGTTGGACTGACCCCTCTTGAGCCTCAAAACACAGGTTAGGTAGGGAAATGCATGCTGCAATGATCATGAGTAGCACGTGAAGCATGGTACCCACATTTTTCACATTTCTGAGTGCTTGTCGTTGATTTGAATTTGGGCATTGTCTTTACATCTGACATCGTTTAAGTCACTGTTACTCTATGAAAATGCCTCCACAACGTCAAAGACGTCGTTTGACTGTTGAAGAATTGGCCAGATGCATAGGAATGCTCGAAAATGGTGCAAGACAACGTCACGTTGCAGAGCTATTGGGTGTCAGTCAGAGCGTTGTTTGCAGAGCTTGGAACCGGTATCAAGCTCATGGTTCAGCTTCTCATCGACATGGAGGCGGCAGAGAAAGGTCCACCACGCAGCAAGATGACCGTTTTTCTTGATTTCAGCACAACGTCATCGGTTTGCAACGGCGACTGCGCTTAGAAATGATCTTCTGAATGCAACTGGAGTTAACATTTCCACGCAAACTGTGCGTAATCGTCTTCATGAAGCTGGTCTTCGTTCCCGGAGAGCCTGTATTCGCATCCCTCTTACTCAGCGACACAGACAAGATCGTTTGAATTGGGCCAGGGCTCGTGTGAATTGGAGGGTTGTTGATTGGGCCCCTGTACTTTTCACAGACGAGTCGAGGTTTTGTGTTGACTTCACAGATCGTCGTGCACGAGTGTGGAGAAGGGCAGGAGAACGATATCAGGACGCTAATGTTGCTGAACACGACAGATATGGTGGTGGGTCGTTGATGATTTGGGGAGGAATCAGTCGAGCTTGACGAACTGATCTCCATGTCCTAAGGCGAGGCACGATGACCGGAGTGCGCTACAGGGATGAAGTCCTGGGTGTGTACGTGAGACCATATGCTGGTGCTGTTGGTCCTGACTTCATCCTCATGGACGATAATGCACGTCCACATCGTGCTAGGGTGGTGGACGAGTACCTGGAACGTGAGACAATTGTTCGTATGGACTGGCCAGCTCGTTCTCCAGACCTCAACCCTATCGAGCATGTCTGGAATATGCTTCAGGTAGCGATTTCACGTCGTCCTGTACAACCAACCACCCTCCAGGAACTTGAAAATGTTCTGATCCAAGGATGGAACAATCTCTATCTTGCGTCCATTCAAAACCTCGTTGGAAGCATGAGACGACGTTGCCAAGCTGTCATTGGGAGCTAACGGAGGCCATACCCGCTATTGACACTTGTTTGTGCAGTGTGAAATGGAATGTGCAGAGTTTAAACAATTTCGTGATCATGAAATTACCATGCTTTTTATGGTACTCTCCCTTTACCTTAGGAGTACGCGATGAAATGTCATGTTTGCCAAATTTTTCTGTCACAATTTCTTGAAGTAAACATTTCTGAACATCAATCACTCTGTGTTGGTTGTCATTCACCTTTGTTGAAAGTTTTACAAGTGCTGAAAAATATGATCCTTATCAAACTTTGAGTAGTATATACTATGATTTGATGTGAATAAAAAACATGAAAGAAGAACAATTTTTTTATTTAATACAAAAAGCCATGTTGTCTACATGTGCTATTAATCAAAACTAGGGGAGATTCCATTTATATCTGAAGGGGGTAAACTTATTACTCATGAATGAAATAACAGTCATCATACCATGAATTGTTGTTTTATGACTGTAGGCGAAATGGGAACATGGCCGTGCTTTAGACGTCCTGCCCTGGGTCCAGTGCTAACGCAACGTCACTGCCGCGAACGTCTACACTAGGCACAACAGCGACAACACTGGCATCAGAGACAGTGGAGAACTTATCTTCTCCGATGAAAGTCGCTAATGCGTATCTTCAATGATGAGTGTGTGATGGAGAGAAACGATTGGGGAGGTCAGAGCATTATGGTATTGAATATGTCGCATTGTCGCGTGTCGCGCTTTGTTAAAATATTCAGTATAAACTGACAAGAAAAAGAAATTTTGCTCCAGATTGAAATCATTCTTATTCCAAAACTGAAAACAATAGAAGTTTGAGGTAAAGTATATTTAATATATCAACTATGCCAGAAAACATTGAAGAACAGAAAATTGGCGTTCTGCAATCACATATTGCACTACAGACATCCAAAGCCAGTAGGGGGTAAAATTTCGGTTATCCGGATGTCCAGTACAATTCATTCAAACCCAGATAGTGGTTCCAGTCACAAAATGTGTCACTTTTATACCGCGTATGGCCACCCCGTGCAGCCACACATGCAAGAACTCGACGTCGAACCGAAGACGTCAAAAGTCTAATGAGGTTACGTGGCAAGCGGTTCTATTCGGCCTGTAGAGCTTGTACCAACT